GATATTTAGAAATTTTTAATTTATAAAAATTACATTCACATCTTTTCCACCATTTTTTTTCGCATCAACATGAAATAATATTTTTTGCGCCAAATTTTTTTTAAGTGATTCAAATTAAATTTCAAAATATCAATTACAATCAATTGTAATTTTTCGTAATTTACTTTTTCAATTGATTCAAAATTCAATTGTAAAAGATTTTATTAATTTGCATTTTATTTCATTTCAAATTGTTTCAAAAATTCAAATTTAATATAAAAAAAAAAAAAAAAAACGTTTCGCTTTCTGCCATAATGCTTGTTTAATGACGTCACAATTAACTCCGCCATTATGATCATATCAAACGAAATTAATTTGTATAGTGAATATTTAAGATTTACAAATAATTTGATATTTTCATCATTTAAACAATAATTTTATTACAAATAATGATTAGTAAATATTTAAAAATTAATTAGTAACTATCTCTCGAGCACAAATTAAAATATTTTAAAGTTATATGTATTAAAGACCCATCAAAATTTTTTATTCTCATATCCATTTAAAATAATGACTTGAAGCAATGTCATCAGTTTTATTTTATTTATTAATAATAAAAAAATTATTATTATGGTTTCATTCAGAAAAGATTTCTTTGATTCTTTTTTTTTTTTTAATAAACTTAATTGATTTTGTATTATATGTTTGATCAAAACATATATAATGTTAAAATGAAAGATGTTAATGAAAAACCCTCAAAATATTTATTTATTTAAAGTTTAATTGATTAATAACTCAAATGTTTAATTTATAAAATTCTTTTTGTATTCTTTTATATTTTAAAACAATTTTAGTAGTCAAAAAAATTTTTCTTTTTATTGATTTTATTATTTTGTGTGCCATAATAATGAATTTTGATCATTAAGGTTAACAATGTTTAGTGTCATTTATGTCATATGCATTTTTATCATGATAAAGACATTTGGTATGTTTTGAACACAAATTCATTATTATATTTTTTTAAAAAAAAATGATTTAATTAAATAACATAAAACCTTTTTTTTTTTTCAAGGAAGACTCTGATAACTTGACATAAATGAATTTTCAATGTTGTGCGGTGAATTTTATACCTCCCCACCCTTAAGTATAATCGACAACACGCGGAGTCCATATTTTACACTGTTGACTTCTCAAGGAATGGCGGCTTTTTTCCCCGATGATGAAGATATTTATTTGGGTAAGTAAATCAAAAAAATATATAATTAAACTTAAATTTAACTTAATAACTTAAGTTTTAAAAAACGTCAAAGCTTTCGTTTTATTTAAAAAAAAAAAAAACTTAAGTTTGCGTGATTTACCTTTTCTGGCATTATTATTCTTTAAAAAACATTATGAGTGTTTGTTTGTTTGGTGTTTTCGAACAGGTTTTGAGTTTTAAACGATTGTAGGAATGTATTACTATTATTTCTTTTATTATATAACT